AGTCAGGTCTGAGGCAGAGATTTATTGAGAAGAGAGATAAAACAAGTAAATACATTACTAAATCCTGTTCTTTTATTAGTCCAGGAATATTATGGACACCGTAGAGAACTTGAAATTGAGAATTTGGAATATTCCATGTCCTCAGACTTTGGGACATCACAGCAACCAGTAGTCAGGTCTAGGGAACAGATTTATTGAGAAGAGAGATAAAATAGATAAATATATTAATAAATCCTGTTAGTTATTATCCCAGGAATATTATGGACACAGTGGAGAACCTGGAATTGAGAATTTGGAATATTCCATATCCTCAGACTTTGGGACATCACAACCATCAACTCTGAGGAACAGATTTCCTGAGAAGAGAGATAAACCAGGTAAATACATTAGTAAATCCTGGTTATTTATTAATAAATCCTGGTTATTTATTAGCCCAGGAATACTATGGACACAGTGGAGAACTTGGAATTGAGAATTTGGAATATTCCATGTCCTCAGACTTTGGAACATCAAAGTAACCAGTAGTCAGGTCTAGAGATCAGATTTATTGAGGAGATAAACCAGGTAAATATATTAATAAATCCTGTTAGTTATTATCCCAGGAATATTATGGACACCATGGAGAACTTGAATTTGAGAATTTGGAATATTCCTTATCCTCAGATTTTGGAACATCAAAGTAACCAGTAGTCAGGTCTAGGGAACAGATTTATTGAGAAGAGAGATAAAACAGGTAAAACATTAATAAATCCTGTTCTTTTATTAGCCCAGGAATATTATGGACACAATGAGGTGGAGAACTTGAAATTGGGAATTTGGAATATTCCATATCCTCAGACTTTGGGACATCAAAGCAGTCAACTCTGAGGCCCAGGTTTATTGAGGAGAGAGATAAAACAGGTAAATACATTAATAAATCCTGTTCTTTTATTAGCCCAGATTTATTATGGATACAGTTCTCTGGAGAAGCTGAAATTGAGAATTTGGAATATTCCATATCCTCAGACTTTGGGACATCACAACCATCAACTCTGAGGAAGAGATTTATTGAGAAGAGAGATAAACCAGGTAAATACATTAATAAATCCTGGTTATTTATTAATAAATCCTGGTTATTTATTAACCCAGGAATACTGTGGACACAGTGGAGAACTTGAAATTGAGAATTTGGAATATTCCATGTCCTCAGACTTTGGGACATCACAGCAACCAGTAGTCAGGTCTAGGGAACAGATTTATTGAGAAGAGAGATAAAACAGGTAAATATATTAATAAATCCTGTTAGTTATTAGCCCAGGAATATTATGGACACAATGAGGTGGAGAACTTGACATTGGGAATTTGGAATATTCCATATCCTCAGACTTTGGGACATCAAGTAGTCAGGTCTGAGGCCCAGGTTTATTGAGGAGAGAGATAAAACAGGTAAATACATTAATAAATCCTGTTCTTTTATTAGCCCAGATTTATTATGGATACAGTTCTCTGGAGAAGCTGAAATTGAGAATTTGGAATATTCCATATCCTCAGACTTTGGGACATCACAGCCATCAGCTCTGAGGAAGAGATTTATTGAGAAGAGAGATAAACCAGGTAAATACATTAATAAATCCTGGTTATTTATTAATAAATCCTGGTTATTTATTAGCCCAGGAATACTATGGACACAGTGGAGAACTTGAAATTGAGAATTTGGAATATTCCATGTCCTCAGACTTTGGGACATCACAGCAACCAGTAGTCAGGTCTAGGGAACAGATTTATTGAGAAGAGAGAAAAACCAGGTAAATATATTAATAAATCCTGTTAGTTATTAACCCAGGAATATTATGGGTACAGTGGAGAACTTGAAATTGGGAATTTGGCATATTCCATATCCTGAGATTTTGGGACATCTACTTCCATGTTAAGTCCAGACTTTCTGCACACTCTTCCCTGTAAAGGCTGAGCTGGTCATCCCTGCTTTTGGTAGGAGAGGAGCCAGGGAATTAGGGGAAAAAATGGTTCTGGAGGACATTTCATCAAGTCATGGCATATTTTGGAGGCACTTTATGATAGCAACGATAAAGACCCTTAATATTCCTTGAATAATATTTTTAAAGTCTTTTGAATTGGAGTCTTTTACTAAGATTAAAGATATTTCATGGAAAAAAAAAACAACTTACTAATTTTTCTACGTGTTGTTTATACACATATTATACACAAATCTGTAGGCAAATATATTCCTTTTGTTTGGAATACTGAAGTGTAAGTCCCTCAGTGCCCTGGTGGGCCATTTTAGCTGGATTTCTGAGCTTTCTGGCTGCTCTCTTCTGAAATCCAGATATTTCCTTCACTTCTTCTTGCAACCTGGTGACCAACACTGAACCCAGTAGTTTAACAAGACCAATAAAAGACCAATAATCTCATTTGTTGTGGTTTGAGTGTATTTATTTATATCAGTGTGCGCGACCATTTTCTGTCCTTGGGTTTAACCCGCTCAGAAAAAAGACATTTATTGTTCTTTAGGAGCAGTTTCAGTCTATGAGATGCCTCAAAATTGATCCTAATGGTTTTGTGTCCCCAAAAATAATCCCCTTCTCCTGTGGTTTGATCACTCAGAACCCTAGGAGACTAAATGATGTGACGAGCCTGTGATGACCCTGATGAGCAAATCAATTAACTGCCTAATTATACACGTGTAAAACTCCCTGAAAACCGGGATTTAAGTGCCTTTATCACCATTTTCTTGCTTTGTTTCACTTTAAATCCGTCATTACATTAAATCTGTCATTAGCAATGATTTGCTGATGGTGCCTCAGAAAGAAGGTGGAAAATTTATCTTTTTTTTTTTTTTTCCCAGAAAAATTCAAGAAATTCAAGTCCCAACTTTTGTTTTCGTGTGTTGTGACTTGAATTTTGGAGTTTTGACAGAAGGATCTCCCTCAAGTCCCTCACACCCTTGATTTCCAGCGTCCCAATGGAATATTGAGCCCTCAAAGTGTAACCAAAATCCAGGAAAACTCCCTAAAAATAAAAAGAAATCATATGGGATTTATCTGCCTGAGTCTCTCTGGAGGAAAATCCATCTTATCCCAAGATATTAATCCGAGATATATCAGAGGAAGCACCTCTGACTGTGCTTTTTTTTCTGCCCAGTGACTCTGAGAAGATAAGGAGCTCAGAGAAAGGAATGATTCCTAGACGGATAAAGTGGGATGAGATTAAGAAGGTAAAAAGAAAAAAATGCTTAAAAAAAGCTTTGCCAAAGCAGGCACTCAGAGCTCAGGAGGCCAAAATAACCGGATACTTTTCACGTTAATCTTAATCTATTTATCAGCTTCCCATCAGCAAAATCAGGATAACATTCCAGTCTGAGAGGGATACTCCAAAGATGATTAATTTTGGAAAACCACTCAGGAATACCCCCCAAAAAAAAAAAATAAAAAGGAAAAAAAAAAAAACAGGAGGAAAATAATAGCTCTGTCTTTAGAGCAGCCTTTGAACCACGGGGAGAAAATCCATCCTGGAAGCAACTCCTGCCCAGTAAACTAAAATTCCCTAAGGAATTGCTGCTGCTCTCCAGGCGTGGGAGGCTCCCACTTCAATCTAGGAGGCTACTGTAGCACGGAGCTGCAAGATAAGGTGGGATAAAAGGGAGAAAGGTAAGGGTTCACGAGCTACTTTTATTTTTTTCTTATCTTAATTACTGAGAAATTCGCTTTGTACCGGCGGCCCGTTGTTTTTTTTATCACATAGATCAGATTGTGCACCTGTGTTGGGCTGTGTGGGCAATATATAAAATATATTAATGTGCACAACAGCAGAGAAACGATAAATGTTCTGAATTCTTTCACTTCCTGGGTATTTTTTTTTTTCTTCTTTCTTGAGAATCAACTCCTAAAATTGTCCCGGTTTCCAAAAGGAGCAAAAGAAAGGAAAAATATATATGTCATAAAATCTACTGTGGTTGGACATCTCCAATAGAACAACCACAAATGGCGTTGGCAAAGGAATTTTGATGCATCTTAAAGTTCTCAATCACTTCTGAAAATGCTTCTCATTGTCAGAGTAGGGATTTGGGATTCTGGGATATATATTTTATTTATTTACTTATTTATTTATTTATCTGGGATATATATTTATATTCTGGAGATATATATATATCTCTAATGAGATATACTTATATCTCATTAGATATATATTTATTTATTTTTAGTAAGTTCAGGTCCATATATATTATATATATATTATATTTATTGTATTTATTTGTTTATTTATCTGGGATATATATTTGTATTCTGGATATATCTATATATATCCAACGAAATATAAATATATCTCATTGGATATAAATATAATAAATATATTTATTTACTGTTAGTAAGTTCAGGTCCATATATATATTATATATATTACATTTATTTATTTATTTATTTATTTATTTGTTTGTTTGTTTATCTGGGATACATATTCTGGAGATATATATATCTATATATCTATCTCCAATGAGATATACTTATATCTCATCAAGTTGGACTTGATGAGATATACCTATATGTCATTGGATATATATTTATTTACTGTTAGTAAGTTCAGGTCCATATATATTATATGTATATAATATTTATTTATTTATTTATTTATTTTTATGATTTTATATTTATATTTTTATGTATATATTTCTTATATATATATATATATACAAATGTCTTACATATTGAAATATATATATTCTTATATATTGAAATATATATTCTTTTAATTTCTTATCTATTGAAAGGCCATAATAGGGTCTCCCCAGAGCCATATATATGTGTATATATATTTATATATATATATATATATATATATAAGGCCTGGAATTCCAAATTGAATGTGAATAACCCCCTCCCCAAATACTCCCAATAAAGACTTAGCAATAAACCAGAGAATTAATAGCAAGTGCCCTTATTGCCATGGAAACCCGGCCAAAACAAATATTGGGAGGCTCTGATTCCCAGAATTCACACATGCCAATACAATTATCCCGCTTTACCCGCAGCCGCAGCCATCCCGGACAACACTGATATTCCTCTCCTGCTTTTCACCCTCAGCTGAGGTAATATTGAGTATTAATAATAGGACTGGGCTAAATTTGGAGCTGGAGGGGCACAGGGTGGGGGGGGGAACCTGGGTGGGAACGGGGCGATTTCAGTTTGTTTTGTCCTGTTTCCATGCTCGTCCACGGATTTGTCTCGGATTGCCTGGATGTTGCCATAGTGACCTTTGATAAATCCATGTTATGGATGCTGTGAAATATAAAGCCCCATGACAGGGGAGGGGGAGTTCAGGGAATGGAGCAGGGGGCTGGGAGCTTCAAAGGCATCAGATTGGGCTGATTTGGCCCTCTCATCTCATAAATGCTTTTCTCTTAATTAAAAAATATGTGTCTCCTACACTGGAAATTCATCCCACTTCGGGGAAGTTTATATGAGAAAATTCACGTTGGTTGAATTTGATCGGTCTCTTAGCATTTATATTTATTTAATATTGGTAAAAATCCACCTTTGCCTCACTGTTCCCGTTCTTTCCGAGTGTTTCTTAAATCGGGAAAGGAAATAACAGATTCGGATCATTCTTCATCTCCAAAGGCAAAGACTTTTCACTTGTTTACAAGTCAAAGTCAAAGTTTAATCCGAGCTGGAGAGAAAGGAATATTAGAAGAAGGTTCTTCACAAGAGGGTGGAACAGGGAAGTGGTGGCGGCCCCAAACCTGCCAGATTTCAGGAAGTGCTTGGACAAGGCTCTCAGGAACATGGTTGGATTCTTGGGATTGTCCTGTGCAGGGCCAGGAGTTGGACTTGATGATCCTGGTGAGTCCCTTCCAACTCAGGATATTCCATGAATTTATGATTCCGTGAACCATGAGCAGAAATAGGTACTTTGAGGGGACTTACTCCGCTCTGTGTCTTAAACACCCAATCTAGGATAGGACTCAACATTAAAGTTCTAAATGATAAATTTAAGGCGAGGGAACCCCCAAATTAAATGCACCTATAGCTGTTGTTACCCCCAGCAATGAACACCCCACTTTATCCCTAAAAACGAGGAGCATCCATCATTTCACAGCGTGTGGTAAAGGCAGGACCCAAACGCAGCTCCGGAGAAACCTCCAGGCCTCTGTTGCAAAGACTTCAAACCCCGTGTTCCTCCTTCCTGGTCACTGCAAAGTCACTGAAGCATCCGAAGAGCTTCTCATTCCGCTCTGGAGGACGGTTTATCCCAGCAATCCTAAAGCACCATCCCAAAAACGGGGTGAATGCTCCGCGTGTCTCTGCAGCCGACAGCCAGAGCCCCGCTGATTAACGGGATTGAGTGCTGAGGGGGGAATTAATCCCCCTTAACCACGGCCAGTGCAAACATAAGCCCCTGCTTTAAGCCAGGTTTCCTGCTTTTGTCAGGGAAAAGGTCACTGGGGAGGGCACGTCCTGCCGTCTATTTTGGACAATTAGCTAATGATGAATCCCACAGAGGGGTCTGTGACAACAGAGGCAATTTTGGGGGATGATCTCCCCGACAAAGACCAGCACTGGTGTCATGTTCTCCTCCTTACTTATGTTATCTGGGAGGGCTCTCCAGCTTTGCTGGCCTCTGACTGGCACTGCTTTCTCATCCAAGGGGGATCCAACCACAATTCCCAGTGTTGTGGGGTTTGTTTTAGGACTGCCAAAATTGAAGAATCACAGAATGATTTGGGACTTTTAAAGGTCATCGAGTCCAACCCCTCTGCCATGGACAGGGACGTCTTTTGCTAGATCAGGTTGCTCAGTGACACATTCTGAACACTTCCAGTGATGGGCCATCCACAACTTCTCTGGGAAAACTGTCCCAGTGCCTCAAACATCCTAAAATAATTCCCCTTCACACTCAATTTAAACCCACCCTCTCCCAATTTATAACTTCTGACCCTTGTCCTGTCACTACAGGCCTTCATAAAAAGTCTCTTCACATCTTTCTTTTGATTGACATGTAACTTCTTACATATTAAAATATGTAAATACATTCTTATATATTGAAATATATATTCTTATAATTTCTTATCTATTGAAAGGTCATAATAGGGTCTCCCCAGAGCCTTCTCTTACCTATATCATAAACCCATATTAATGACACCATATACATATGTAGATATAGGTGTGACTGTAAAATGCTTTCAAAAATTGCCTCAGCTGTGGAACAATTTTAAGCAAATTTCTGGGAATAATCAGACATTCCATTAAGCTCGGAGATAATCAACAAAACCAAGTGGAGAGCAGAGGTCAGAGAACCTTAGAATCATGGAATGGTCCTATTAGGGTCATTCCTTACTGGGTGCCAGAAAATCAGCTAAAACAAGAGTCATCTTATGCACCTCAAATGCAAAACATCTTCACCTGTAACTTGCTTGTCCTTCATCATGAAGAAATTGGGCTGGTGAGGGACTTTAGACAAGGACCTGGAGGGATAGGAAACAGGGAATGGTTTCCCACTGCCAGAGGGCAGGGTTAGATGGGATATTGGGAAGGAATTGTTGTCTGAGGGTGGGGAGGCCCTGGCACAGGTTGCCCAGAGAAGCTGTGGCTGCCCAAATCCCTGGAGGTCTCCAAGACCAGGTTGCAGCAACCTGGGCTAGTGGAAGGTGTCCCTGCCCATGGCAGGGGGTGGGACTGGATGGACTTTAAGTTCCTTTCCAACCCAAACCATTCCGTGATTCTGCAGCCAAGTTATGCCAGGCTGGGAAAGCAACAACAACAACAACAAAACCCCAACCCTCCAAAAATCCCAAGTTCCTTGCAGCAAAGATAACCAGCAACTGAGATGAGTAGGGAGGGAAACAATGGATTTTCCAGTGGGACAACGGCTAAAAGGAGATCAAACACCCTTCCACCACCGAGTCTCCAACTGAAGCAGCGAAGACAACGGTGAAACAATCCGTGGGTTTCTTTGACCCGGTGATGGAATTGCTCTTTTTTATGTCTTAAAATCGGTTCTAAGAGAAAAGAAAAAAAAAAACAAATTATTTAGTGTAGTCGCCAGCAGGACACTAGGTGGCCCACAAACCACACACACGCCCCCCCCTCCCAGTCACCCCCCACGCTCCTGGCGAGCTGTTGTAGGGCCCAGAGCAAAGCCTGGAGGGCACATCTGTCACAGCTCTGCGTGGTACTGCCAGGGATATTGCCCATTACACGATTTGTACATATTTAGGCTTAGCCAACCTAAGCTGATTGCAGGTACTTAAAATTGCTTTTGTGCCATGAACACTTAACGCTAAACCTCTTTTAATTTGCACCGTGCTACTCAGAGAGATCATATCATTCTTCTGGGCAGCATAAATTCCCCCATCTGGCAATCCCAGCCCGCTCGGGTATTTCTTTTAATATTAATTAAAAAAAAAAAAAAAAAAAGAATTTAATAAGGATTTGGGGTTCTTTATTGAGCTTTTATTGTCCGGTCTTGTAATTGAATCACTCTGCTGTGACAGCACGACTGAGGCTGTTATTAGCAAATTCTATAAACAATGGGCTTGATCCCTTTATGAAAAAGCATTGTAGGGGGAATAGTTAATCTGGGCTAAAAAAAAAAAAATAAAAATGAAGCTCTGGGAGGGGAAGGGGGGGGGGGGGGGGGGGGGGGAATACAATTGCAGATTCCAAATATTTAAAACTGTTTCTGCCCTTTCCCATTCCAGCCCCCTCCTCCCTCCACGGCCCTTCTCCCACCGCCCGGCTGCTCAAATCCCTTTTTGTTCTTTGTGCCCCGAGCCTCTGAGGCAGAACTCGTTTGCAACACGATCAGAGGGAGGAAATTTTGTCCCTGAGAGAAGCTGGTGCTGCTTCTCTGGGCCACTTTGGGTTTTTTCGGTGGCAAACCACCACGTCTGGAAAGCTTCAGGCTTCAAACACGCACCGAAGAGGGGGAGGTAGAGTTCATCAGGCAGTGCTGGCATTTAATTTGGACACCTCCAGTGAAATGAGTCATTCTGGGCTCCCTTTGTAGTCAGCAGAGTTCTAGGCAAAAATATGGGTGGTGTTGGGTGCAATTCATCCCATTCCAAAGTAGAAAATTAGGCAACTTTATGGATATTTCCCAATCAGACTGTGCTCGAGCATAATTTCAACTGGCTACAAAAGCTCCAAGGACCTGCACTTTACTGCTTGAAATGAAAATAGACTTGAAATGAGCATAGAATAGACTTGAAATGAGCATAGAATTTCTACTGGCATCAAGTTTTCCAACTGGCACTTTATCTCCTTGGGCTTCTCTTCTCTCACGCCAAAAATAAAAGGGGGGGAATGAGCATTCCTATTGGAACAACAGCTCCGTGTTCTGCTGTTCCAGGGCTTATTCAAGGTCCACAGGGTGTTAGACAAGTCCCTGACCATGAAGTCGACATTGGAAAGGCTCTGTTTCATTGTCTGAGCTCTTGACTCAGTTCATAACTTCTCCAAAGGGGCAAAGTCTGTGTCTTATTGTGCATTTTTCCAGGTCGCTCCAGGAGCTGAACCTCGACCGCGGTCACGTAGCACCAGACATGAATCCCAATAAATAACTGATCAGGGCAGTGATGATAGTGAGGGTAAAGAATTATTGATCAATACCTTATCAGAAGAGTTCTAAATGGGAACTTTAACCCAGAGCCTGCAGAAATCAGTGGAAACATCGTGGAGTTTCTCGTGGCATTTGGACCAAGTTTCCAAAGACCTTGATTGACCAGAACTAAGAGCAGGTTTTTATAGGCATTGAAAGTAAGGCTGGTTTAGGCTTAAGAGGAGACACCTAATGTTCAAATATAAAAGAAAGAAGACAATTATGTGGCTAATAGGCCTGAAAATCAGACAAAGAGGCAGAAAGAGGAAGATCGTGATGAAGATTCATCAATAGATGAATTTTTTTTGTATTCAACAGAAAGCCCCTCTTTGAGCAAACCATAGATGCTGGGATATCAATCAAATTTTGGAAAAGGATGAGTGTTAAGAAGCTGGATGAGAGCTGGGGACATAATAAGGGCTTGTAGAAAGAATTAATTCTAGGGGCGGCGATGCAAAGTCAGATTTGAGGTTTCTTATGGGAAAAGTCGATCTTCTTCACATTTTTTCTTGATGAATTCCTTGTGATGTATCCAACCAGATGGGCCACTTGAAGGCAAAATGTCAAGATATATAGAAAGTCACTGGTAGGTATGAGAGAAGGAAAGGAAAAGAAAGTTATTTCTATAAAATATTGATAAACAGAACGGCTCGGATTTACCAACTTGAGCTTTATTTGAGTAAGGAATTAGGTTTGGGAGGAAATGTTATCGGGGAAGTCATAGGAAAAGGGAACAAATTTCAGAATTCCACTCCAGAAACAGGATTGGTGTGGGAAATGCAGATACTCAGAGGTGAAGGAGAAGGATGAGGAGCCACAAGTTCCAGAAAGGGAAATTACATCTGGATAGAAGGAAAAATATTCTCAAATCTCAGGTGGGCAGGGGGACAATGTGATTTTGGGTACAGCCCTTTTTTGAGCAAGAAGTGGGTGTTCCAAAATACACACGTGTGTGTACAGAGAGCTAGAAAAGTGGACGGGAAAAATACAGTGAGATTGAGCACCAAAGCTGGGAATAAATTAAAAATTTCGCTGATAAAAGAGCTTTTTGATCCGAATTTTACTTGCATTTCAACCATGACTGAATGGAGAAATAAACTGGCACCTCTCCCCAGGATGAATTATGTGATTGGTACGTTTTTGAACCACAATATATAGGTTTGGACAATATATTCGAACACACATGCCAGGCATTTTTTTTTCCTCCTGTGTAACATATAGAAAAAAAAAAATAAAAATCAAGCCAATGATTTTAATGTGATGCAATTTCAAAAGTTGAGCTTTTGGGGGTTTCTATGGTCACAGACCTGTGTTTATAAGTTTGGTCTTCCCCCAGCAGCTAAAGGGGAGCCTGGTGACCAATAGGAAAGCAAGACCTCATTCTCCACATTCCATTAGCTCCATAATTCCACATTAAATGATGGGTTTAGTGCCATATGGTGAAGTCTGATATGAAGAAAACAGGGGAAAAATTAATATATACACACACATACACATATATACACGTATATACGTGAAATACATATATATTTATACATATATATTTTACACAATTAACCTGCCTGGTTTCCTTTAGGAAATGACAGATTTTGATGAAGTGAAGCGAAAATTTTGAAACCTTTGCACTGATTCCTCCTGCTGTTAAGCTTTGCTTCAGTCTGGATTTGGGGTTGGGATTTTTTTTTTTTTTTTCATTTTAACTTGAACTCCACGGAGAGCCTCCCTGCAATTCTAATTTTCTGGAGTCAGCCTGGAAACCACAGAGCAAAATTCTTTCCAGGCACTCTGACTTTCGACACGTAACCCAAATAACAATGCTGCTTTTACCTAATGGTCTAAACATCTTAAGCATTAAATGAGGGATGAATTTGCCATGAGGTCAAGAGTTAAAAACTCTTGAATAAAAGAGTATTGAGAGGGTGCATGTGAAAGACAGGGGGGGAATATGATTTCCATGCATCCATTTTCTTTTTTCAGATTACAATTCCACCGGCAAAAGTGTTCTGGATTTATGTTATTGGTGTTCCAAGTTCATCCCAAACCACAAAGTAGAAAGGTCCTGGTGTTCATCTGCTCAGCCTTCACCTGGTTCTGAACACGAAAAGCCAAATTGAGCTTCCTCAGGCAGAAGAAGTCTGCTAAAATTTGCCTTTTTAGTGTCATTATTGCAGCAATTTCAGGAGCTCCAACCAAGATCCTTTCACACAACAAAAAAAAAACTCATAAAGGACAGAATTTTGCTACAGAGAGAGAAAAAAAGGATGAGAAAAATTAAAGTTTTTAATTATAAGAAGGGGGGAAAGTGCAATAAAGGTGAAATAAAATATCCCTAAAACAATGCAGATCTGTGAATTCTAGTTCAGTGAGAATTTGAACAGTGACTTCCCAGCAGGGGTCGAATTAAAAGGTGGTGCCATCAGCCCTGGTCCATTAGAATTTATGATATAAATCAGTGATGACTCCCAGGGGTGAGTTTTGCTTTTCCCACGAGTTCAGCTCACACTGAGACTTTCTAGGAAAGGAAAGCATATCTTACATGCACTGTCTAAAATTAAAAGCTTGTCTAAAATTAACACTGGTGGGGTGTTTTGGGGGAGATTTCAGTCCTACTCTCAGTTTAAGGTTCTAATCCAGATGTGAAGGGAGAAACTCAGCTCTGGACAACCTTTATTCCACCTTCCAGCGCTGACTTTGGGCACAGCTGAGCTTTTCCACGTCAACCCTGACCCCACACAAGGTTCCAACACACCCTGAGTGTAAATCTCTAATGGTGGGGCGTGTTACGATTGTCCAAAGGGAATTTAAGGGGTTGGTGATCCTGGCTGGAATCCACCCCAATGTGAGGAATTTCAGGTTGATCTTATTAGGTCTTGGACGTGAAGGTGGGGCCAGGCTGAGCCAGGAGTTGGCTGGAAGGTGGAGCTTTTCCCCGACGGATCCAGCCACAACTGCGCTGGGAAGTGGTTGGTGGGAATTCGGGAGGTGCTGCTGCTTTTTCCAGTGCCTGTGTCAGTGCTCCTTTATTTTTCTCCTCGTGAGGAAAACGGCCTGGACACATCAGTGCTGAGGTGTCACAGCTGGGAAGTCACTCAGTGTAGGACTACCCTGAAACCCAGGCAGTTGGTGGGGAAGAGGAATGAAGGATCATGAAGTTCAAGCAGGCCAAGGGCCGGGTCCTGCCCTTTGGCCACAACAACCCCCGGCAGCTCCAGGCTGGGCCAGAGGGGCTGGAGAGCAGCCAGGCAGGAAGGGAGCTGGGAGTGGGGATGGCCAGGGAGCTGAACAGGAGCCCGAGTGTGCCCAGGGGGACAAGAGGGCCAATGGATCCTGGCCTGGCTCAGGAACAGGGTGGCCAACAGGGCCAGGGAAGGGATTCTGCCCCTGGACTCAGCGCTGGGGAGGCCACCCCTGGAGTGCTGTGTCCAGTTCTGGGCCCTCAGCTCAGGAAGGACATGGAGGGGCTGGAGCAGGGCCAGGGAAGAGCAACAAGGCTGGGGAAGGGACTGGAGCACAAGTGCTGTGAGGAGAGGCTGAGGGAGCTGGGGGGGCTCAGCCTGGAGAAGAGGAGGCTCAGGGGAGACCTCCTCACTCTCTGCAACTCCCTGACAGGAGGGGGGAGCCGGGGGGGGTTGGTCTCTTTTCCCAGGCAACCATCAGCAAGACAAGAGGGCTGGGTCTGCAGCTGTGCCAGGGGAGGGTTAGGTTGGACATTAGGAAGAATTTCTTTGCAGAGAGGGTGCTCAGCCATTGGAATGGGCTGCCCAGGGAAGGGGGGGATTCTCCATCCCTGGAGGTTTTTAAGATAAGACTGGATCTTAAAGATAAGATCCCAGCTGTGGGCTGGGAACCACGGCGGGGTTGGATCAAGGGTTGGACTGGATGATCTCGGAGGTCCCTTCCAACCCAGCTGATTCTATGATTCTATGATTCTATGATCATTTCCAGAGAAGGTCAAAGGACCACAATCAACACTCTCAGCATTTTTTTTTCCCAGCAGTGCTTTGACAATTCCTCTGCCTTCTACTGCAGGGCCTCAGGTGATCCAAAGGAATATTTCAATATTCAGGTGATCAAAAGGAATAATTCAACACTCGGTTTTGGAGCTAATAAAGGATTTGTCTCAGAGAGGCACATTCTCAATTCCTAATTCCCACAGGTGAGGTGAAGTTGTTTCCTTCGTGTTTTCCTGGGTAAAGATTCCGATGGTGAATTGTCACTGAGGTCTGACCAACTCTAAGCAGCTGTTTAATAAAGGAATGAGCACTTCAGGAATTCCACTGGCACTGGGAAGTTCATACCAAGGCCATTTCAAGAATGGAAGTGAGGAGAAAGGAGAAAATATTATTTTAGGGAGCAAAAAGGTTGAAGCTGCTTCTCTTTTACAGGGGAGGCAAATCAATGTTTGCTGTTTTCCAGCATACTCTGATATAAATGTTTCTGCTTCAAAACACAAAGGATTTCCTGTGAGCCAAGAAAATGAAGTTTTGTCTCATGTGTTTCACATAAAATAACAAAACGAAAAATTAATCCCACTTGGGCACCTCCTACAATATTCTGAAATCGTTATTGCTAAATCTTTAATTTCTTTGAGAACACAAAGCCTTTTGGGAGGAAACAAGCTGGAAAAGCATTTTCAAGCAATCCTAGAAGGAAATGATGGGGAAAGCTCAGTGAAAAACTATGGGAGCTGCATGGATGGGACTTGGATGGAGAGGACACCTTGAGAACGAGACAAGAACATGGAATGACTTCATTTTAAAACCAAAAATCAACACTTTTGGACAGGTTTTTGTGTGCAATACCTTGGTACACAAAGTTCTCTTGTCCTTTCCTAGGAATCATTGTCTTGGTGCAGGAATTTTCTGTTTGAAGATGGAAATATTGGAGAAGCAAGAGGAACCTGGTGAAATTGTCCGCTGGAGGGCACAGGGATGGGAAGAGGGAATGGAAAAAAAATCCTGGAAGGGTGCAAATTAAGCTACAGGGGGGAACTTTAATTAATCACATGGTTTTGAATAGCAGATGCAGCCAAACATATTCCAAACCTTTTCTGTAGGAAAAGAGGGATCAGCAGGATATCAACAGGATATCAACACCAAACCCAACTCATGTTAAGAACATTTCCTGAATGTCACAGGACTTTCTTCACTCTGAACTGGTCATGGAAACTTCCTGGAAAACCACTGGAAAGAACAACACCTCCAAAGGATGCTTCTTTTTAGTGACATTAGATATCTACTGGAAATTTAGAATATCAATCTTCTGGACACATTTATCTCTCCATGGAATATCCAGGCAGGATTTTGACCATCCTTTGATGGACCAGGTTTCCAAAAAAAAAAAAAAATGAAATAGAAGAATTATCATTGCAGGTTTCTGGGTAAAGTTGCTAAAATACTTTATTTGCAAGCTCAGTAACACAGCAAGAAGTTCAAGGAGTTCTGCTCACTTGCCTTTCCCCCAAAACCAAATTTTTTTCCCGAGAAACACAAAATGAATTTTTTTTTGTCGATTTGATTGACTCTACCAGCAAATCTCTGGCCAAAAATAGTCATAATCAAGTTTAAAAAAGTTTCAGTCTCTGTTTACTAAAAAAAAAAACCAACTTGTTTTAAAGTAAATCATCTGTGACAGTCACATTTGGGCACGAAACACAAATAATTAAATTTATACTGACTACAGGAAGAGGAAAGTGATAAAGGGAAAATAGTCAGGGGAAAATAATTAGGGAAAAGTAGCCATTGTATAGGAAAAAGCCATGAAGAATGTCCCAAGACATCAAGAATGACCAAAATTGAGCCCTGGGAACTCAAGTGGCAGCTATTTTACAAGTTGCAGAAATCCCTGATTGAGCATCTCCAGATTGTGCTGATCCTGGAGGGTCAGGAAAGAGTCTCATATGGGGACTTTCAGGTGTTACATCCAGGAGTCTGGAAAAACAGGTTCACAGGTGGAGGAGTGGAGGAGGGAAGGTGACAATCTTTGTTTGAGCCCCGTCCTTCTTATTGATTTAAGACACTGAAGGAGCGGAAGGAAAAGTTTGGATGCCAAGAGGGCTGGGATGATTCTGTGGGAGGTTCAGCGGGTCAGAGGAGAGAATTCCATGTCACTTACCAGGAGGAGTGGAAGGAGGCCCAGGTCACTTCAGGGAAAAGTCTGGGAGCTGTGTTGTTGGAGACAGGGCAGAGGGATGGCAAAGGTGGCGTCGAGTCACTTGGGCAGAGTGGAAACTGCAACAGCACCGTGGAAAATCTAATCTGGGCCATCTGAGAAGGTAATTTTTCATCTTCAACTTCCCTTTTGCATTGTCACCACTGGACTAGGACACAGCCCCATAAATAACCATACAGGGCTGGAGCACCCTCGAGGTTTGGGGATCCCTGACTGGCCAGAACGGTGTCAGTTTAACCCGAATGGCACCAAAGAGCCAGCTGGGGAACACGACCTTTGAATGGGACCTGGCAGAGCCAGGAGCACTATCAGCGTTCCTGGAAATCAGCTCTAATTAAATTGCAGCTCTAATCTAAAAAACCACCATTTTATGGCTCCGGGGTCGGAACCTCCCGATGGCTCCGCGGGAAAACGCGTTGGAGCTCTCACGTAGCCCAGACACATCTGCTCCAGCTGATTTATTCTGGGATTTTAGGGGTGAATTCCATCTCTAAAGAGCCTCTAAAGAAATTGGGTTGGCATTAAACTGGGTTTTCACCCAGTTCTCTCCATCCAAGAGTCTATTGATGAGTCTTAGATGTTTATTCAAAGCCAATCTTAGATGTCTGTTCGAAGCCAATCATCTGCAAGTCTCCAGTCAGTGGAAAGATTGGAAGGCTCATCCCGTATATTTTAGGTTCAGATTAGTACTTTTTAGCTTTTTCCACTGATGCAGAGAGCTGTGTTGACTAGACATCTAAATTTTAAAGTAAGAAATCAGGTGAAATAATAAATCTATTTTAGGGCGACGTGAACCCCTTTTCCTTCAGCACTGAAAAGCCTTCTGGGTCACGTTTTCAGGTACTCCTGCTCAAGGGCACTTTATGTGTGATGAAGACGAATAATCTTAATGAAGATGAATAATCTCAACGAAGATAAATAACCTGATGTAATTGCAAAGGAACTGAGGCTCCAGGTAAGGTTCCACACGTCACCACCCAAACAGCAAACGTCTCCATGGTGATGGGAGTGCTGAGCAGAACCCACTGAATGCTCCTGTTGCTGAGTGAAGGAGGGACAGACTCGGCCTTTCTGCAACTCCATGTGACTGTAGAATCACATTTCTGGGTGCTGGATGGCATTAAATTCACCAGCTCTAAAGGTCTCAGTCCGTGTGGCTACAACTGTCAGGTTTTATCCACCCTTTTCCCCACAAATGACTGATTTTGAAAATGTTTTTGGTTTTGCCCTCAGGTACCTTGTAAACCAAACCTTTCCATTTGTTCTCATTCCCTGGAAGTGGGTGTAAACCCTTCTGCCTGTTTCATCACAGATTACTGAACCACCTTTGAGGGAAAGTCTCTTCTTAATATGTTTCATGTGAATATGAGGAAAAACTTATTTACTTGGAGGGTGACAGAGCACCAGAACAGGCTACTCAGAGAGGGTTTGGAGTCTCCTTCTCTGGAGATATTCAAATCCCACTTGGACAAGATGCTGTTCACCTATTCTAGGTGAACCTTCTTTAGCAGGAAAGTTGGACTAGATGATCTCCAGGGGTGTCCTCCAAACCCAACCATTCCAGGACTGTGATCCAGGGAAAACAGCTTTAGTTTCTCTGAGACTGAGTTAAGAGTGTACAGGAAAAACTTTGGAATACATCAAAATTTTAGACATGATACCTCCAAGGTTGACCCATATTCTTTGTAAACAATGGGTCTGTGGGTTTATTTTGTCCCTAACAAACACCTCCCTTCAGCTTCCCCCCAAACTTCAAGTTGTGATAGAAGATAAGGTTCAAGCATCCTTTGTCCTTCAGGCTGTATGGGAAAGAGTTGTCACCTGGATCTCAGGTGAATATAAACGTCATCCAAACCCACATTCAGTCACCACATAACAAAAGGAGGCTGCACAGGTCATGTCTTGGGAGTTAAAGGGCAAAGTTTGGCACAGGTTGCCCAGAGAAGCTGTGGCTGCTCCGCCCCTGGAAGTGTCCAAGGCCAGGTTGGAGCAACCTGTGATGATGGAAGGTTTCCCTGTCCATGGCAAGGGGTGGGACTGGATGATCTTTAAGGTCCTTTCCAACCCAAACCATTCCACGACTTGCTGCTGGGTAGTGCTAATAAATGAAGTCTCTCACCCCATTACCCCCCCCAGTCACCTCAGGTAAAATGTGAGACAAGATATCAAGGAAAAAATACTTTCTTTATACCAAATGCAGTGGAGATCTGGGGCTAAATTCCTTTTTACAAAGGTGGGAGGCTACTCCTGCCTGGAAAACCTTCTGATCTCTGGATTGAACTCCAGAGGGGACTGAAAGTCCATTTCAAAGTCTTTTAAGGAGGAAATATTTTCAGGTACTTAGGAATATTCTCCAGTCCTGTGTGCCTTTCCCTTGGGCTTCTCACATGACAACACCTTTGTGGGGGCAACTGAGTGAAACCCCTCAGGCAGGATTCATCTTGCAGACCAAGTTGTCCCCATTTCTGTTTCTCCCCATGGAGTGGGTGTCCAAGTTGTTCACATTTCTGTGTCTCCACATGGAGTGGGTGTCCAAGTTGTCCCCATTTCTGTGTCTCCCCATGGATTGGGTGTCCAAGTTGTCCACATTTCTCTCTCCCCGTGGAGTGGGTGTCCAAGATGTTCACATTTCTGTGTCTCCCCATGGAGTGGGTGTCCAAGATGCCACAGAAGTCACTGCAGGACTGGAGACGAGGAGATCTACTCCAAGACACCCACTCACCAAGTGTTCATGTTCTCAGACTAGCACTGGCTCCTCTTCCTCCTTCACCTTCCCAAATCCTTAGCACATACATCCACAGCAGTTTAGGGGCAATAATCTCTTGATGGTGCAGACCTGCCCACCCAAGGACCCACTGGAAGGGTGTTTGTGCTCCCCACACCTCCCCAGCCCCCCTTCTGAGCATTGTTTCCTAATTGTGTGCAGATTTTGGAGCAATAACCCCCCTCTCCTTCACTCCTCTTCCTCAGCTCCTAATTGATCAGACACCGAACAGCTGCTGGCTATTTTCTCTTCCCCAGAAACACGCAGTAATTGTATGTATGGGCTCCAAATCCCTAAACATTTGGAAAGGAGAAGGACTTGAACAGGAGCCAGGTCTTTTTTCAGCGCTGGTACCAGCAGCAGTGGCATTTAAATCATATCAGGGGGGCCAGGGAGGGTGGGGGGTTGTTGAATTTGCTGAGATTCACTTGGAGAGAGGGGGAGAAGAAAAAGAGGGGAAAAAATGCTAAAGAGAAGAAAAAACCTGAAACCAGCAATCAACAAACCAAGGCAGCTCAAAGAGTTGGAGTCCATCCCAGCTCCAGAGCGGGGAGGTTACTCCCTAAACCAAAGGGAATTGTTTCTCTCCACGCTCACCCACATTTCCCAAAGTGCCAAGTGGGGCAGCTTCATCCCAGTTTAACCTGAGGGTTCTCCATTGCCATGTTCAGGCCCTGCTCTAATCTCTTGGAAGAAGAAGGAGCCTCAGGAGAGACAACTCTCAGCCATGTTGGAGATGTTTCTCCTGCTCCTTCTGCTGTGTGGGAAGTCCAAGCCAACTGCTCCTCACTAGGACATCCCAGTTTTGTGCCAGAAGTGGGTGAATTCAAGGGTGAATTCAAGTCATACATTTGGGACAAAGCAAACATCACAACTCATTTCCCAGAGAATGACAAATCATTATCAAATCATTATCAAATCACTATCAAACATACAATATCACACACTTGGCTAATTGAACCCTAATTTGACATCAAATCTCTTAAAAATCAACAGTTTTGTTGGGGAAGATATAAGAAGCAGATTAATCAGGCTAAAAGCAAAAAAATTTCACCTCAGAAATATTCCTGAGTTGTTTCACTAGAGTTTTTATTCACATGAATTAACTCACCTCCTCATTAGGCTGCTTTTCCAATATTAATATTAAAAATGATGCAAAAAGCAGAGCTCCCACTGCAGTTGGACACATCTCAGACATCTGAAGGAATCATCTGCCCTGACCTAAGTCATCCATGATCCCTCTCTATCAACACATGCAAACACTTCCAGAAGGTGATTTATCTCATTTCTAATGACACAGGTTGGTTGAGCTCAGTTTGGCTAAAGACTGGGTGTTTAACTAGTCCAGTCGAAACTCAGTTTAGAAGAGATTCAGTAAGTAAATAAGTAAATGGCTAAAATTTGGTGAGATGAGTTCTACCCATGTCTCAAGCTGTCTCAGCTATTTCAGCTGTGGGATTAGTGCCATAAAATCCCAGAGTCATGGAATCTCAGGATGGTTTGGGTTGGAAGGGACCTTAAAGATCATTTAATTCCAACTCTTCTGGAAGGGACACCTTCCACTAGCCCAGGTTGCTCCAAGCTCCGTCCAACCTGGCCTTGGACACTTCCAGGGATTGGACAGTCACAGCTTCTCTGGGAAATCCAGTCCAGTCCCTCCCCATCCTCCCAGACAAAAATTTCTTCCCAATATCCCATCTAGCCCTGCCCTCTGGCAGTGGGAAGCCATTCCCTGTGTCCTGTCCCTCCATCCCTTGTCCCCAGTCCCTCTCCAGCTCTCCTGGAGCCCCTTTAGGCCCTGCCAGGGGCTCTCAGCTCTCCCTGGAGCCTTCTCTTCTCCAGGGGAACCCCCCCAGCTCTCCCAGCCTGGCTCCAGAGCAGAGGGGCTCCAGCCCTGGCAGCATCCCCGTGGCCTCCTCTGGACTCATTCCAACAGGTCCACATTTCCCTTGTGCCATCTTCATTTGATCTGAAATTTAAGGCTGAGCCACACTAAGACCAAAACCTCACATTTCTTCTTTGCAGTGAAGGGCAAAGCAGATAAAATCTTAAAGATTTTATTTTCTGTGTAGTGTCAAAGAATTAGACATGAGATGCCTCACACTTGATACTTCTCATATGACAAGAAAGGGCTCAACAATTAGGGATGACTTTTGTGGCTCTCTAGACCTTCCTCCTTCCTGAATGGTGAGGACTAAAAGCTGGTGTCCATCTGCCCTGTGGAACCTCCACGGAACCACCCACAGACACACAGACACTGAGATATCCTCACTCTGTCCTGACTTCTTCCTCCAGCACAAGGTTGTAGCAGAATCTATTTTTTTTTAACCCCAAAGGACCATAATCATTATTTTACTTTGAACTTTAGAAAACAAAAAATCTGCTCTATCACCAGTTAAAAAAAAAAAAAAAATGGTCCCCTATCATCCAAACCTTTCCTTCTGATTTTGTCATCTTAGTAAAATTTGAACTCCTCCAGGGTAAAAAGCAGCCCCTGATATGAAAATCGACACCTGGGCTGCTGACATTTCACTTCAAAAAAGACCAAACAATATGTGATTCCAGGAATAGCTGCTAAAATCTGATAAAAAAAAAATAAAATTGTGTGGGCCCCGTAACCTTACACTGGACCTTTGTGGCCACTTCCTAGAGAAACAGGAGAAAGCAAAGAAAATTCTTCTTGGACAAATAGCACATGTAATATGACATTGGCCACATTCCTAATAGGTTCTCCCTGCCAGCCATACAAGGATTGTAACCTTAGAGGAGGGATGTGATTGCTGCCTTGGACTGAGCTTGCAGCAGAGTTAGACCTGGCTCAGGTGTAGTTGCTTCCCCAGGTAAAGAAAAGGAGTCTTGGAATCGCATAACTGGAGAAGGGGATTAAGGAATCAGGTCTGTTGGGAATATTATTGGTGCCCACACGGCAGCTTGGCTTTCCTCAGCCTCCAGAAAGTGCCCCAAACCACACAATGGTGACCACACACAAGTGTTTCGCTGTGACCTTGGGGCCAGTGTTGGAGTTTGGATCCTTGAGGAAGCTTAAAACCCACTTAAAACCAGTGCCCAGGATTCCTCATCGCTCCTGATGGGCTGAAAAGCAGCCAAGCCACAAATCCTGAGCAGAAACGTTTCCCTGCAATGCCTGCTTCGTGTGAAATGAAGGTTGACAGATACCCCCTGACATCTTGTTTTGGACAGAACTGCAAGACTTGCAGATGCTGTGCTCCCTCACCCAGCCTTGCATGGGAGGAAAATGAACAAAAAACGCTTGAAAAAGCACATTTTTACAGCAGGGAAGCACATCCCCCCACGGAAACCCTGCAATCTAATTTCTGTCTGCGTGTGTGTGTGTTTGATTTGGGGAAATACTCACCACTTTTAGCACGTTTAAACTTTTCATTTTATAGGAGCACTCAGAAAGCTCATCAACAGCTCGCTGAGGAGTCATGAGAATTAAGGAAAATTAATTGCCAAGGCAAAAGGGATCAGTGGCATCTGCACACTCTTGTTCTGCAGAGGATTCCTGGTTTTCCCTCGTGTGTGTGACGGACAATCCTTGCATTTGACATCAGTCATGTGGAGGCACGTTCAGGAATTCTGCCCAAATGATTGCTGGGAGTTAAGAGAGGGAGATTATGGGAAGGGCAGCGTGAGTTTTGGGAAGTCAAATCCTTTCTAGGCTGACCTGAAAGACCTGTTACCTTGGGCTGTGGCAGCAAACAAGAGGAAGCTCCCAGAAAGACCCGGAGAGAGTTTTGAGCTGTTCCAAATTAAAAGGCCTAAATGCAGCTGGAAAAGGAGGCTGGAAAGTCTTGATTAACCTCTTCTGGGAATAAACCCCACCCAGAGGGGAGCAGGATGGAAAACACCAGCTGTGGCAGATGTGGCTGATGTGAGGGGAACCCAGATTAGGTAAAGCCCTGCCTTAATTTAATTTAATTAAATTTAATTTAATTTAATTTAATTCTCGTCCACTACCAAGAGTAAGGTTGGTAACATCAGCTCTCCCCTTTAATTTTGGAGCTCTCTCTACACCCAGAAACCCCTGATGGAGGGGCAACAGGTCCATTCTTTAGCACAAGAAGGAATGTGTCTCACATGGTATTAAAATCCTCTCATTGACACCTCAAGCTCCCTTTATCATTGAATCACAGAATCAGGATTTTATATTTCCTTTTTCCCCAACAGGGTTTTGTTGGGTTTTTTTCATGATTCCTTGAACCTGTTGCAGGATCCTGATAAAAGATAAGCTAAATTTTGTCCTTGATGCCTTTGGCGATGGTTACTTTAAAAAGAGCCTGAAGCAAAGATCCCAGGCCACAAAACCATGGAATAACCTGGGTTGGAAGGCACCCCCCAGGATCATGGAGTCAGATGAATCCCCCCTGTTTTTCCAGGTGTGCAACAGCAGGTTGGTTGATTTTGAAGCTGTTGGATCACCTGGGACTACAAAGACTTTCTGTGTGTCCTTTTGCCCCCACCCTTGAGCTCTCTGCTCTCTGATAAAAGGTTGAACTCAAACTGCAGTGAAGAGACAACAGGAAACCTCCCTCCTCTTCCAAGCTGGTTTCATCCAGTTTACAGGCACTCAAAATCAATATGTTTTCTACTCCTCAATTAAACTTGGGTGTTATTGACCTTTTAATTCAAAAGAAAAGGAAAGAGATGGTTGTCTCTCTGTATTATCTGGCATCCAGGACCCCTATTCCATTCTCCCAGAAAAGCAGACTCGGAATGGATCTGGTTCTTAAACTCATCAAGCATGTGTACAAACAGGGAGTTACAGCAATGCTGCCATCAAAAAGTCATTTCTTTTGGCAGAAACATGGTCCCATTAATTTCCCCTATTAATCTGATTGAGATTAATGAGATAATGTGTTGTTTTACCATGGCCCAATCCATCGTTGTCTGATTTCTCCCACCTTCTTGCTTTTTCCTCACCCCATTTATTTAATGTTTGATCCAACAAAACATGTCCCCCCGTGTCCCACCCCAGGCTTCTGTTCCAAGCTAAGCCTAAAGCGAGTTTTAAGGCTGAACAAGGTCAAAATCAGGACAGTCCTTAAGGGCACCGGCAAAGCCCGTGTTTACACGCTCAATAAAACAACCTACAATGATTTTCCTTTCCATCAAAGCCACAGTTTCCAGCTCTGGGTTGTCCTGGGTTTTCTTCAGGATAATTATCCCATCTCCAAAGGCTCTGGCAGCCGGAGGAGCTCCGGCCCTCCCAAATTACACACTTAATAAGGGAAGCGGAGGCAACGTCAGAGGGAAACCAAGGCCAAGGGCAAATCCAAACCCCTTGGATCCACCAACTGCATCACCGAGCTGGCCAGAAACCTTCCCCATCCTGCCAGAGAGGGATGAGGCCATGGAATGAGCTTCCCACGGACGGATGATGTGGGAGTGGAGCTGTTTGTGCCTTCCCCAAAGCACGTCGGGGCCGTCACAGCAGGTCGAGGGGAATTCGGGGAGCGCCGGGATTTTCAACATCCAGGAATTCACCGCTGTGGGGGTGGAGAAAGCAATTTTTTGGGACACAAGTCCAAGCTGTGCCAATGAAGGACTCGAAGCTGATTCTTCCACATCCCATGGGATTGTCTTGACCCCGCTTTCTAAATGAGAAGGGACCATGACTCATTCTCTCTCTTTGGCCACTTCATCCTCTGCTGCAGAGGAGTTTCCCACTGAAAATTTCATGGAAACCGGAACGTTTCTGGGGGAAATAAAAAAATCTCCCTTTTTTTGACATTTAAGTGAAATAAGACAAGAAATTTGATCAGCAGTTCCTGTCCAGATGCCACGTACAAGCACGAAGACAAGGCCAAAATCAGCATTAAATCCCACCAGGTTTTGAGAGGATTCAAGTTTGTTCACTCAGTAAACGGAAAGGAAAAAACATTTTATTCCTAAAATACAGTGTGGGGGTTTTTTCCCCAACTTTTTCTGCCCACAAGTCCTGAATATTAATAGTCAAAGATCTCTAAAAGCACTTCTTGGCTGCTCAGAACCACCTGCCCAGGGTTTGTCTGCAGGGTTCACCTGTGGAGCTTCAAGGCAGGGAGAGCAAAAGCTCAAATATTGTGACAAGTGAGGGACAAAGATTGAGGTCACCTTGTTTGGCAAACTGACCTTCACCTTCTGGCATCCTTTTGGATCCCCAGGCACGAGCCATTTGCTCCTGTTCCATAATTTGGGAGTTGTGAGGCTGCTCTAGTACAGATGTTGCTCCCAAAGTGTTCCCAAAGCTCCTGGAATTATAACGTGTGTTTTGAATAAAGGACAAGCACCATGTTCTTCCTTTCTGCTGGCCATGGGGAGAGTGACAGTGCTCAAGTTCTTCCATCAGAAGCCACCTCAGACATATCCAAGCCATGAGCTGGAGAGGAAGAGACCAAGTCATTCCTGCTGCCCATTTTATTTGGAGTGTTGGTAGCATTTGGAGGAGGCAGAGGCTGTGGGGATGGGAGTGATGCTTGGATTCACAGCACCCAGAATGACCAGCTCTTGCCTGCCAGGTAGCACCCCATGACAAGTGAAGACCACAAATAAAACAGAAAGAAATAATCAGGGTAGAGGGAAGGAAAAAAAAAAACATTTTATATCAGAACCACAGAAACATTAAGATTGGAATAAACCTTTAAGATTATCAGGTCCAACCACCAACCCAACACAACCACTGTGTGTTCACCACTAAACCATCTCCTCAGGTGCCACATCCACACGTTTCTGAACACTTTCAGGGATGGCGATTCCACCACTGCCCTGGGCAGTCTGTTCCAATGCTTTATAACCCTTTCCATGACTTTTTTTTCCCTAATATCCAATCTGAACCTCCCCTGGTGCCACTTGAGGCCGTTTCCTCCTGTCCTGTCCCTTGTTCCCTGGGAGCAGAGCCAGACCCACCCCCCCTGGCTCCCCCCTCCTGTCAGGGAGTTGCAGAGCCAGAAGGTCCCCCCTGAGCCTCCTTTCCTCCAGGCTGAGCCCCCCCAGCTCCCTCAGCTACTCCTGCTGCTCCAGCCCCTTCCCAGCTCCCTTCTTTTCCCTGGACACGCTCCAACCCCTCAGTGTCTTGTCCTCAGGGGCCTAAAACCGAACTCAAAATTCGAGGAGCCTCAGCAGTGCCAGCACAGGGGAATGATCACTTCCCTAATCCTGCTTGCCACGCTGTCGATGGCACAATCCAGTTATCACTTCCCAGCATTTACCAGGGCATCCCTAAAGCTGAGGACGAGAAAGGAAGGGCAAGGCCTTCAGTTCCCTTCCCTTTAAGCATCATTTCCTACGCACACACGAGTAACAGGAACGCTGCAGTTACACAGCCAAGCAAGGCGAAGACAGGACGAGGAGGAGGAGGAGGAGGAGGGGGGGGGGGGAGGAAAAAAACTGGGGGGAAAGATTTACAGCCCTTCCAAAAGATGGAATTGAAAAATGTAAAAGAGGGGCAGCGCCGATTGCCAAAACGCTGGAGGTTTTTCTTCTCCTTGCTCCGTGTGCGTCGTGAGCGGGGTTTGGAACTGGGAGGGGGAGCGGGGAAGCGTTGGAATCTCGGGGTTTTCATTTCACCGTGAAACTTTAGCACGAGAAATTTTAATTGTGGATCCTTGTGGACAAGACCTTGAAATCCTACCCGGCCAAAGCTCTCCGGTCCCGGAGTGTTCTTGGAACTGGTCGTGGCTCCCAGTCACTCGGTTGCTTTATATCCAAGTCAGCCCCGTCAGTGGGATGTGGGATGGGGTGGAGGGTTTAACTGTTTGTTAGCCCTGCACTCCAGGCTCCGGGCAGGGGCTGTTTTGTTGCCAGGCAGTGTGTTCATACCTGTTTTTGAGGATATCCCTGCGGGAGCTTACCCTTTTTTTCCCTGGCTCTGGGAAGCGGATCGGCCTTTAACGCACTTGGCACCCGCTCAAGAAGCTCTGGAGGAGGAACAGGAGCGGAGCCTCTCTGAGTAATGGATTGTGGCTACCGGGTGAGTCCGTGATAGCGTGAAACACAATCTCTTGGAGGGCCTCAAAATTATCAGGGCATTTAATCACGGGCTGGGCATGTCCCTGCTGTATTTATGTGTGTTACCGTCGCGGGGTCACTTGGGCAAGGCGCTGAGAGAATGGAAAGAAAGAGGCCTTGGAACATCAGGCAATAGATCTTTGTGTTCAAATTGAAATTTCCAGCACTCCTTGGGAAATGCCAGTAGCCAGCTAATGCACCTCCACGTGATTAATCAGCTTTTTGGAGTGGGAATATTTTCATTCAGGGTACGAGGGGAGGTCCCCCCGTGACATTGATACAGAGCAGAGGAAAATTCGGCTTGGTTATGCCGGGAGGTGGGTCAGGAATCCACGGGAGAAATTCGGAGATTTCTATTTCCCAAGCCCAAATGTCTTATAAAAACAGAATTGTCCTGTTTCCAGCTCCCCCCCCCCCCCAGAAAACCTGCTGAAAGGTTGGAGAAGATCTGAAATCAAAAGGTGATTCAGTTGAACATTCAGCAAAATCTGGTTCGTGTTTTAAGGAGGCTTGAAAAACAATTTCTGCAGCAATGCTGGAATTTCCCCATTGTGTTCATTTCCCAGGAATCCATAGAGATTTTTTTTTAATTATGTTCTAAATTTTCAGAAAATTCTCCTCTTTATTTTCTTGTTTTGCCTTTTTATTTAGTTCATTTTGTTTTGTTTTGCTTTTGGGTTTTTTTGGTTGGTTTTTGGGTGCATTTTGTTTGTGTGCTTTGGGGGTTTTTTATGTGTTGTTTTGTTGGTTTTGTTGTTCTGGTTTTTGTTTTTAAATAAATGAGGCAATTAATTTCACCTCATCAAATTATTTTTAGCTACAAAGTTTCAGTAAATCCAAATTTCAGGAAGCCGAACACCTTGATATCTACTTGCAGAACATTTTAATAGCAATGCTAACAAGGCTATAAAATTGTTACTAAAATAAGTTTTTCCTCCCCCTTCCTTCTGCCAACAGTAACAACTATTTGTTGCAAAATCATGCTGAAGAACAGGGAAAAAAATCCACCAGGGAGGAAGACAAAAAGCGGGATGGCACATCTCATTACCTTGCTAATCCCACATATATATTGGGAATACAGGCTGGGATTCGTCTTCCCTGGTTTTATATGCCCAGAAATCAGACATCCAAATCCAATTTAAGAGTCAGAGAAGGGAAATTAAAACCTAAAACAGGTTTTTAAGTTCGTGGGATTCACTGATTGCACAGTTTTAGGGTGAATAGGTCAGGCTTGGACGTGTAAAAGAGGGGTAAAGCCAAACACAGGGTGTTTGATCATCCTCTGTTCCTCCATCTCCAAAAATCCAGAGAAAAGCACAAAAATTCAGCTTTACCTCTAGGGAACCACACCCCAAAATTTAGTTACACATCAAAATTTAGTTACACACCAAAATTCAGTTACACACCAAAATTTAGTTATGCCACATGTCCAGGACCAGCTCGTGCCTGTGAATAATTAAATGATCCCTCTAAGAGAGAACTTTTGAGTGGGTCAAATATTTCAGATAACTAAATAAAAAATGATATTACTACAATTTATTCCCAGTGCTTCCTACTTCCACAAACATCTTCCTGGATGAACCAGGAGTCGTGTCTTGGCTCATCTGATGTCTGGAGTGTTGTTGTTTCTCTGGACAAATCCCTGGGAGGGGTTGATCCGAGGCGTGGACTCACATCCTGCCTGATGAACCAGTGACATTTAGGGACATTTAGGGACAGGGACTGACTGGGAGAGGAGATCCTGGTGTGCCAAAGCAGAATCTTTGGATATACCACAGAAAAAAAAGCAGGAGAGCTGGATTCAATTCCCACACAAGTCCTGAGGATTTGGAATTGCAGTCCTAGCACCAGACTTGGACAAAAGGAACATGAATTTCTTTGTCCTTTCTTTTCAGGATATTTCTGAGCAGGGAAAAGGAGGAAAAGGTACCTGTGGCAGGAAATTGGAGGCTGAATTTTTAATTTCTTCACCTGAAAACCCAGAGCAAGGAAAGAGCTGGAGTGTCCTTGTCTTCCATGATAAACAGCTCCTCAGTGTCAGCTCCTCACGTTCGTGTCACGCTGACAAAACATGACTGATTTAAGACAGGGAAAAATGTTCCAGTTTCTGTCAACCAAAGCTGACATTCCTTATTCCAACCACATTATCTGCCTTTTTATCTGCCTGCCTCTAATCTGCTGAATCATCACTTTTTTTTTCACGGAAAGGAGCATTTTCTTTTTGAAACTCTCTGTTTAAAAAAAAAAAAAAAAAAGAAAAATCATGGAAAATGTAGCTGTAGTACTAGGAACTGCTGTGCCAGATTCCCTCTTGGCCTGGATCATTATACCTCTGCTGACCTCAATAATAATTTAACTTGAGGGCAAGCAAAGAACGTGGTGTTCACTCACAGTCACTGTGGCTGATCTGCTGAATAAATCAGAGACCAACCAGTTGCTCCATAAATCCCCAGTAGCTCTTGGCCAGTGAATTACTCTCACCCAGTGGCACAGCAATTTAATTGGAATCTTGCACTGGTTTTTGTTGTTGTCATTATTTTTAAAGGTGTTGGCTTTTTTCCACGAGCCTTTGCCAAGATGCTCAAGGCTGTCACTGGCATCAAACTGGAGCTATTCATTTTTTTTTTCCCAGTGTGAGCACGAGCTACAAATTTGGGTTATTTCAGAGAAAAAAGTGAAAACCTGCTCTTTTAAAGGCCCTTGGTTTTCAGCAGGGACAGCTTAGCATTTATCCTATCAATGAGAACTCCACAAGCCTTATAAATATCCCAGATTTATGCCCCAGACGTGTCCCTGACTTTGCTGAACCACACAAATGGAGCTGGAGCAGTTTTGCCTTCTCTCGGTCCATGCAGGTACCTGTGACCCTTCCAGTTCTTCATTAATTGAGCCCAATGGAATTTTTATCCATGTTTTCCATAGCCAGATTCCATTTTCAATAGGGAGGGGGGATAGCAAAGCACCTTCAAGGCCCTTCTGGTTTTGAAAGGACAAAAAAAGAAGTGCCATCGCTCCCAACCCTTGCCCGGCTTTTCCATGGTTTCTGTGCCTCCACGGGATAGTGGTGTGGTCCAGACTGTGCTTGGAATTACTAATAAACATTACATTTATCTGCATAATGAAATATATTGCGTTCAGGTGGTGTTAGGAGTGGGTTTGGGGACAGGGAAGGGGTAGAGTGGGGAAGTTGAGCTGTTTTCCCTGGTGGGACTGAGGCTTTAGTTTTGGTGGTTTTTTCGCTGCTACAGCTCTAAAAGACAGAAGGAGGAGAAATGAGGAATGGGGCAAAATGAGGGGAAGGACAGAAATATTTCAGTCCTGATGCTGATTAGCTGATATGCAGAGGAAAGAGAGAGCAAGTGAGAGGAGCACGTTACCAAACCTCTGTTTAAATCCCAACTTCCAAGTGAAAATGTGTTGGCTCCTCCTAAATCCCTGCGGAGATTTTGAGGCATTGAAGGCAGCAGACACCCAATGATCATCTAACCTGACCTTTCTTAACTCAGACTAGAAACTTTACCCAGTGATTCCCGGAATGGGAGGAATTCTCCCCACTATGTGAGCGCATTTCTAAGATGCAGCTTTAATAAACTGATGATGGGTATCAGGTTGCCTTGTGAGAGCAGAGCACTGGATGCCACGGGCTGGTTCCCGTGTTCCTCTGGAGGAATGTCACCAATGACTTGTGGTTGAGCTGAGGCACATTCATCCCTTCTTCCTGCAGCTCCCAC